CCTGTATTGGATTTGCTCTCTGAATAATTGATGGAGGAGGTGTTTTGTAAAGCAAAAGGCCGGTAATCCTCGGTGTCAAATTCAAAATTAGTTCTTTTTCTATTATTGATGGCCAGAGGGCATGAGGTTAATAAGAGGAACTCTGTAACCATAGATAGATTGATAGATAGACAGATACGCTGTTAGGTATGTAACAGATGAGATATCAGCACTCAGCTGGATGAAGAAAGAAATTAAATTATTTAACTTTGGAAAGGAAGCAGCATGAAGCACCTTAGCAAATATAAATGTTTTGGAAAGAGTAGAAAGTATCAAACTAATTAAAAATAAAATACTGTCTCTTTGTAATAAAGTCAGGTTGGGAAGAATCCTGCATATCCAGTTTCATGATTATATTTAGTCTTTTTTCCTATATTACAATGAAAATTAACATTGTAACATTTTTACAAATAATCTGAAAAGTGACTTTAACACTAATAATTCTGTTTTAAAACTTAGAATGAGTCTGACTTTCCTCATTATTTTTTAATTTTTTTCTTAGAATTCAGACTTAACCTGAGAAGATTAAAATCAGATGTTTGAAAAAATAAGATATCTGAGATTAAAGTCAGAATTCAGAGGAAAAATTTCAAAATTCGGAGGAAAAAAAAGTAAGAATTCTGATTTTAAAGTCAAAATTCTCTTTCAGTGGTGCTACTCAATCTTCTGTTGCAGTCCATTTGTATTAAGACTGATGGAGTAAATACTTTATAGAAACATGTTTTACTGCAATGATAGCTGTAGATTTTGTGATGTATATGTATATTCCAAGTTAACAAAGGTACAGAGTTCAGTTAGAAGTAGAAATAGAAAAATTGTAAAAATCACAATCAGTAGTTCGAGGTGAAGTTGTTCTGCTCGATCTTCATTGTTATTGTCTTTGATAAATTATCTGAGACAGTCAGTGGTTACATTCAAACAAAAATATGAAAAGGTATGTATAGTTTGCTAAATCTTTACACAGCAAAAACGAAATGTTATTTTTCTAGTTTCTAATGCAAATTTCTTACAATTGAAATAAGAAACTTCAGCAAAATATAGGAGATTGTTTTAAGTGACTAATTCTTTAATACTGATGAAAAAGAACTAGTTTTTGTTGACAATATTTCAATTGTAACCTGGGGAAAGTTTCTGATGAAAATTAAAAGTGAAATAATATGCCAGTGAAACTAGAACTTTTTCAACAACTTTAAGGATTTATTGGCATTAGACAAGCTCCTATATTTTGCTGAAAAGTTATTTGTAAGTTAGTTTTGTCTTATTTAAAGTGTACTGGCATATTTAGGCTACAAACTAAAGCAAAAATACTTGGTACGATTTTGTCTTTTTGCAGTTTAAGAGATAATTAATGCAATTACCTGCTTCACAGTAAATATTTTAATGATGCAAACATATATTGGTAAACGACAGCAAACCAGCCATTTATAGCTAAATCCAAACATTTACAGCATATTTTCCGCTTCAGCGTTTTGTGTTGCATGCATAAAATAACACATAACATCTCAGACACTGTGTAATCACTTGGGATTTTCGTGACAAATCTGAAGCAAACGGTTGACTCAGTATTTTGACTAAATTTTATTTTTGCTGTATGTTGGAAAACCTTTTTTTCTGCAGCACCACCTTGTTCCGAGAGCAGCCTAATCTAATCTGGGTTCTGCTGGCTTGTGCGTTTGACGAAGACATTTAGGAATTAAGCGGGAGATTAAGGTGTGTGGAGTAATCTATGAGGATGTGTTGATTTGGAAGGTGGAAACATGGATAAGGATACTCTGTGTGTGTATTCTAGTTATAGAGTTTCAGAAGTAATCTGTGTAAGTTGAGTTGTTTACAGACACACCCACACACACTCCCACACACACACACACACACGTTGACAGTGACGTACAGTCACATGCATATTAAGACATACCCAGATGCTCCGTGATACTCGACCATTTATTCTTACCGCGATCCGTCTTGGCCGTTAAAATTGGCTGTCACTCTCTTTGTTGAAAAGGTGATTAATGCTGTTAGTTGTAAAGCCTGTTTGGTAGATGTGATTGTGTGTGTGTGTGTGTGTGTGTGTGTGTGTGTGTGTGTGTTTGGGTGCAGCCTCAGGGTGTTCGACAGCTGCAAGAGGCCCCAAAATCACAAAACCATCCAGTCAGAGGGTCTTTTAGTCTGTAGATGTGTTTCTATCAATGCAATTTCGCTAGGTTCACTCTGCTTCCTGATTTGATCCAAAACCAAATTTTTTTGTCACATCTGATTTTTCTAACAGCGTGGTCGTTCACACTTCCAAATATATGACTTGTATGTGATATCTAGTGTGAACTGTAGACGACTTCAAAATGTCCCACATGCGCAGTAGAGGGCGCAATAAAGTCACACAGAGCGTGTGCTCAGCGTTTTACCAAATGTCACAAAAAAGGAAGAAGAAGTGCTCAGAGTTTGTGGAAGTAAACACGGATGCTAACGGTGGAGCTTATCGGAGGCTGCGTTTACACTGCAGCTTGAAGTGACCCAATTCTGATGTTTCTGCCTTAATGTGACCCTGGATATGTGGTTCTACATCTTTACGTATCTCATCTATTCATGACAGAACAAAAAAAAAAAGGAATTGGGTGACTTAAGGGTGCAGTCTGAATCTAGCTATTTACATTTAAAAAATAAATGTGCTTAATTGTAAATTTCAAATAAAAAAAAAAACCTTGATTTTTGATCAAATAAACAGTTTATTTCACAAAACTGCAATGAAAACAATTGTTTCGCATCACACAAGTCACATGGTCAACAACAGGATGTTACTACTGGTAGAGACAACGATGACAGGAAGTGGAGGGAGGGTGATGGAGTGGGATGGTTTTTAATGACTTATCACTTGAACAAACTTATTCACATGTGAATTTAATTGCTTATTTAATGGAAACAGGAATTGCCAAAGGCTGTTTTTTTGCATTAGTAGAATATTGGTCAACATTTGTAACGGAAGCACAGCTTGTTCTCATCACCAGTTTAATTTTGTTTTGCTAGTGTTTCCAGTTAAACAGCCTGTACTGTAACAGGTGGAGGTGAAAGGGGGGCAGCGTGAAGGATTGATGGATTCATGGCTGATGCCAGCTTCGCTTCGACGCAGAGAGGCAGCTGAAACAGACGTCCCACTCCCCTTTATTTGTGTGTGTGTAGCTTGTTATGCTGCTTTGGCAGGGGTGGCACAACCATCTGCCTGGTCAGAGCCGGGTGCGTGTGTGTGTGTGGTAAGACAGGCAGAGATAAACGGGTGATTGAGTGTTTGAGGCCGCCTGATGTAAATAAATAACGCACAGCAACTGTCGGACATTAGGCTGCAGTTGACCTGCTTTCTTCACAGTGATTTTCTTTGTTTATTTTTTATTTTCGTACTAACATAAAATTGATACAATATGTAGAGTTTTCTTCCTTCTTTGAAATGATCAAAACTGTTTTTCTAAGTAAGAGGATAAACGAATGAATTTCACTCATTACTTAAAAACAAATACGAAGTCTCATTCTTACTTAAGTCCAGAAGCGGGTAAAGTTTCCACAAATTATACTCTAGCAAGAGTAGCACTAATTCAACATATTTCTACTTCAGTAAAAGTAAAAAGTAGCTGACCATGAAATTACTCAAGCAAGAGTAACACAGTATTTGGTAAAAAGTACTGAACAACTGATCAAATGATCAGTCATTTCATATTTAAAAATTACATCATCAGATGGGCCATAAGACAGACTGGCGACAGAGGCGGGGTCCAGGTGACCCTGCCTCTCGCCCGGAACGTTAGCTGGAGTTGGACCAGCACGTCCTGACCCCACTGTTACAAAATGGATGGATGGGTCATCAGATGGACCAAAATCTAATGTTAAGTGGAAATTTGGGTATTTTAAGATCTAAAATGACAATAATTCATGTAGTAACAAAAACATAACAAATACAAGGGAAATAAAGTTTTTCCAAATCAGTTTCTGATGAAACTTTGAACAAAAACTGCAGGTGTGTGTCTGAGTTTGTTGAATTTTTGGTTAAAACATGTTTTATTTTCATTCAGTGGGTAGAAAATGCAGACATTTTACTCAAGTAAGAGTAGAAATACTTCAAAAGTAAAAGTTTTTCAAAAAGTTCCTCAAGCAAATGTAATTGAGTAAATGTAACCAGATACTACAACTCTGCTTAAGTCGCTTCATCTTCCTAAATATCAGCGCAGTAAAGATTGGCTTTTGATAATGGATTACAAGAAAATAAATAACTTAAGTAAAAATTACGAGAAAAAAAGTAAAAACTATACGAATAAAGTCATAATATTAATAGAATAATAAAATGAAGAATAAAAACTCAACTTACTCCTGAAGCCAAAATAAGATGCAAGTTTAACCTGTGTTGTAGTTGAATATAAAAACAAATAGATATCATGAATCAAAATGCAGATTTATACACAGAGACATTTTAAAAACCAAGAGATGTGATAAAAAAGTGATTCAAAGAGCGCCGCATGGCAGTTGTGTGAAGAAACGATCCGAGATGAAACCTCTGGTCCGTTCTGTCGTCTCTTTTTAACACCCTTCATTTTCTCCTCAGACACAGAAAGTGAAGCTGCTAAATAGTGAGAGCAATAGTATCTCCTGTAATCACACTTGTCTGTCTGCAGGCTATTGACTTTGGTTAACTGAGACCTACCGTGAGTGTGTGTGTGTCTGTGTGGGTGTGTGTGTGAGAGAGAGAAAGAGACTCGGTGGAAAAAAGGGACAGAGAGTTTTATGTGTGTCAAATTATAATTTATGCATTAATGTACCTTTGATAATCTCTTATCTGTCTTTTCATGGACTCAATATAAATGTCACACTATCACATGTCTAAAAATCCTCAATCTTTCTCTTAAATCTGAAATATTAGTAGCTGAACATGCAGTCAACGTGCTAAGGTAAAAAGTTTCCATCCTGCAGTTTGTGTCCTTTCTTCTTACCTTTCTTCAGCCTGTCGTCTGTACGCCGCCCCCCTTTTCCTCTCTACTTCCTTCTCTCTGTCCCTCTCTCTCTCTTCCTACCTGCCAGCTGTTGCTCTGGGGCCTCCTGGCTCCTGCAGTTTGCCCCCAGACAAAAGAAGGGATGAAACAACGACAAAAACGAAAGAAAACCCAACGACAGCCATGAACTCCTTTGTTCCCTCTCCCGTCGTTGTTACCTTGTTGGGTCTGTCCGCCTGTTTTCCTGGGGGAGATTTCCTGGATGCTCTTGTCTGCGTTTTATAACGGTCACTTGATCTGCATTCAGGAGAAATGAACAACGAGAAAAACATCTTCAGTATGTCTTTGAGGGCTCAACAGATCGGCTTTTCTCAGTTAAGCTTCAGGGTTGAAAATTGAAACGCGTAAAAACAACTATGGAGAGATTATTTGTTTGTAAACACATCAGATTCATAACATGAACTGCAGAAAGAGCCGGGCGGACTTTAAACTCCCAGTGGTTGCCAAATTCAGAAGTTGGAGGCGAGTAAAATTAACTGATCATTTAATATTTCAAAATTACAATTATCAGATGGACCAGAAAATAAAATTGTGTGGAAAGTTTGGCATTTTAAAGATCAAATTCATATAAATAGGCAAAATAAAAAAATTTCCAAATCAATTTCTTTCCTCACATATAATAGCACACTTGTAATAAAAGAGAACTAAGTAACTTTTCAGCAAGAAATAGGAACTTGTTTTAAGTCAATAATTCCTTAATATTGATGAAAAGGTTCTAGCTCCATTGTCAGATTAATTCGCTTATAACATTTTTCCCATGTTATAAGTGAAATGATTTGCCAATAGAACTAGTATTTTGTCACCAATATTAAGAAATTATTGACTGGTTCCTATATCTTCTTATTTCAATTGTGCCAATATACCTCCACTATAAACTAGACAAGAAATACTTTATAAGATGCATTCAGTGACTCATATTGAGTAGAGAATACAGACATTTTGCTCAAGTAAGAGCAGCAATACTTCATAATAGTTACTCAAGTAAAGGATAAAAAGCACAGTGGAGTAAACCTACTCCGAAATGTATATATTTTCCAAAAAGTTCCTCAATTAAATATAAAGGTAACTAGTTACTAGCCAACTGTCTAGGAAGATCACAGCAGTTTTGTTCACTAAGGTGTATTAGCAGTGCCTGTTAACAGCAGACGGTGTTGTCCAGTGTCGTCTCTGCAGTCCAGACCTTCAACTCTTGGCAGTAAGTTTCTGTCCAAATTTATTTGTCTTGTTTTTTTGCTGGCGGCCGTTTACGTTCCACCCTCAGCTGTTGCAGATAATGCGCGTGATGTCACTGGTTCCGCTGCTGCTAGGATACGGACACAACACCCCAACGCGTTTGCGGCAATATCTGGTGATTTTAATCATGCCTCACTCTCTGCTACACTGCCAACCTTTCACCAGTTTGTCAGCTGCTCCACCTGAGAAAACAAGACTTTGGGTTTGTTTTTCACAAACGTCAAGGACTCATATGTCCAAAGCAAGACTTACGCCGGGGAAATCAAATCATAACCTTGCGTTTCATACAAGTCCTTTGTTCAGAGACGGCCTGTAACAAAAAACGCTGAAAGAAAGTTGAAGGAGAAGAAGCCCTACAGAGTTGTTTTGAGGCTACGGATTGGATTGCTCTTTGCCAGCCATGGCTGAGTGTGTGGACAGCGCCTGAAACATAACAAATCCTAAAGGAACTGCAAAACAAGAAGAAAGCCTTTAGGGAGCGAGACAGGGAGTTGTTAGACTATACAGCTTAAAATAAAGACTTAAGGAGAAAAGATGTAGAACAATATCAGGGATGAAGAAGATCTCAAGCCAAAGGAGGATAAGATAAACGGAAGTCTGTACAGAGCAAATGAGCTAAATAATTTCACCAGATTTAGTTTGTTTCCTTAATTTATTTTTTTTTATTTAATAAAGTAGTTTTGAATTTAAATTCATGCAGAAACGTACTCATACGCGCAAGCTGATGATCAGCATGGATTTCTCAGCAAGATATAGCTCCAAAATATCAAGCATTTTCATTGTTAACACACAAAATCAACCCTATTTTTTTTAGCTTACACGCTAGCTTAAAAGAAAGTCGACTTCACAATTAGACGCCTGCAAATCTGTCTCTTTAAGGATCTCCTGATCTTTTAGACACTCTGCCTTCAGCAAGTCAAACAATGTTTCTTCATAAAGTAAAACATTCTTAGGAGCGTTGGACTGAAAAGCAATTGGTAGGATAAGCTCAACCAGGTGTTAGCTAATTGTTGCTGCACTAGTCTGTAGGAGCTGAGGGTAGGAATGAAGTTCTGAGGAGAGAAATGGAAATTAAATGTTGTAATTCATCAGTTCAGATTCTTCAAAAAATCAATGAAGATGTTGATGGCTGTTGGCAAGAAAGATCTCCTGTAGCAGTCTGTATTACAACAACTCTGCAGACAACTCTGACTGAAGATGCTCCGTTTTCCCAAGACAATGTCGCAAAGAGGATGGAGAAGGTCGTCCTTCGTTTTCTTGATCCTATGAAGAATCCTTCTTGGCATGATCATCTCCAGAGGTTCCACAGTCGTCATCAGAACAGAACCAGAACCAGAACTAGAACCAGAACCAGCCTTATTTATCAGGCCGTTGAGCCTCTGTGGGTCCCTGGTTCTGCTGCCCCAGCAGATGACGGCAGAAGAGATGACGCTCTCAACAACAGACTCAACAGACTCTGGGTGCAGTGTTGGACTCTGTCATGAACCTTCAGAGCCACATAGAGACAATTACAAAGTCAGCCTTCTGTCAGCTGAGGAACATTTCCAGGATTAAAGGACGAATGTCTCAGAGAAACTGATCTATGCTTTTCTTTAAATCTAGACTAAAACCCACCTGAAACATAATCAATGAAACATTAAGCAACAATCTGGTGTGGCAAAATGCAATGCTTCAAATATCGACGCATTACATTCTATATCTTTGTGTTTTTATGATGTGAAACACTTTGAGATGTTGCTGAAATGTGCTGTGAAAATAAAATTTGATTGGAAGCTAAAATCGAACCTACGAACTCTAGTTCAATCTTTTTACCAATCATTGCTAAAACAAACTTGTTTCTATCAGCACAAGTGACCCAAATGAAAGTTCAAAAACATGCAAAATGTGAGTTCTGTGAAATATTTTCCTCGTTAAGGGAAGCCTTTCCTCTGCTACATCCACAATGTGCAACAATGTGCAACAACATGCACGACACGCGGCGTCTCAGGTGTGTTTCTGTGTGTCTGTCAAAGGCAGGACCACTAAGCCTGTCAACAAAGGGGTCCGGTGCTGCTGGTGTGGTCTTCCCCGTCTATCTCAGGTGGAGTATGTTACTGCTAATGCCTCCTAAGATTCCTCTGACGCTCTCCCAGAAGCCCCCTCTCTTCTCCACAATCCTCTTTGCTCCCGGTGTCCTAAGCACCTCGGCGCGGCGAAGGTGGCTCGCCGAGGATTGTCTTAATCTCTCCTTTTCCTTCAGAAAATGGCTAAGCCAACCCGAATGTCACTCCAAAAACCAACTGGTTGCAAGCGTGTATGTTTTTTTCCGTGCTTGCTTTTCTCTGTGTCTCTTCGTGTAACTTTGTCACTTCTTCTTCTCTCATTTTCACTGCAAAAACACAAAATCTTACCAAGTTCATTTGGTCTAGTTTCTAGGTTTGTCTTGAAATAAGACAAATAAGTAATTTTTCTGCAAGATATAGAAGCTTATTATAAGCTTAATTATAACATATACTATGTTTTAACATAATTATACATCAACTTTCAACATGGAAAAATGTCTTGTTTTAAGTTTAATAATCTGCCAAAACAACTAGTACTCTTTGAAGTATTTATTTAAACGTTTTGCTGAAACGTCACTTGTAATTTAGTTTTGTCTTATTTCAAGTTTGCAATAGAAATACTTGGTAAGAGTTTGTGGTTTTGCAGTGTACAAAGAAAGTTGGGACACCTTCCAGAAAAAATCTAATAAAAAATTACTGAAATTTGAATCTATTGTGTGTAAGTGGGAGGAGGAAAGTGAATAATGTCTTTACTACTCTGAAACAGAAGACCCCCAGGGCTCCAACAAGAAAAAGGCCTTAAACTGTTATTACTGAGACTGAAAAGATACAAAACGACCACAAACCGCAAACGTAATTTGTGGTCTCCCTGTTTCCCCAGCTGTGTATTTTACCTGTGATTTTGCCTGTTTCACAACACTTTGTGTTCGCTTTACATGTTTTGTTTTGATTTTTTCCATTCCAGTTTAGTAATTGTGCTTCTCCTTTTGATCTTTTTAGTTTAACAGTTTGGCTCTTGTAAGCAGTTATTTAGTTTTTTACTGCATGGCTGACTCTTTGTGTGTCTTTGTGATCATTTGAGATCTTAAGGTTTGTCTCCATTGTGGAAAAAATGTCTTTGTCTTCTATTTCTTAAGCCTTTGTAGGTCTGTTTTGTTTTATTTGGGGATTTTTTAGAACCTCTTAATTTTTTTATTTTTTATTTTTTTCCCTCCAGGGTCTTTTTGCAGGCTCTAGTGTCCCTTATATAATAGTAGGCTGACAGGAAGGACGTAAGGAGAGGGGGAAGACATGCAGCCAATCTGGTCGGGTCCGGGAGTCGAACCCGCGACGGCTGCGTCAAGGATTCAAGGCCTCCAAAAGTGGGTCGCGCCACCACAGCACGCACCAAGAGCCTCTTAATTCAATTTCCTGCTGAGGAAACATTTAAACTCAAATCTAACCTCATATTAGTGCTGTTGTAGAAAGTGAACTGTTTATACTTTGCTCCACATGCTGACTGAGAACGGTTGAACACCTCGTTTTACCGCAGCGCTGCAAAGCAGTCGAGGTCATTTCAAGGTTGAGCAAGTTCATAATAAACAAAATACGGAGTGAAAAACAAGAGCAGCAACACGTTTTTGTTTTTTCTGCTGAAGCAGTAAATCCTGAGCCTGCCTTTTTGTCTCCAGTGTTTTGGGTTTTTTGGGATGTTTTTAGCAGAGCTGCTATTAGCCTTCATGTTAATCCCCTCAGAGAATAAACTCATTAGAACATTAATCACTGGATTCTAATTACCTCTCTCTCTGTGTGTCTCTAATTCAGGTACTTAGACAAGCCACCCCTCTCTGAACCCATCGGGGAGAAGTTACAGTAAAATGAAAAAATAAATCAGTCAAGCGAGGTCCTTGGCTGCAGTACGGATGTCTTAGCTTGTTTTCCCGATATTTTTTATCTAAACTTTGCAAAGCTGAGCTTTGAGGC